TGTTCTCCAGGGAAGAGGCATTTCTGCAGCCCAAAAGCGATGCTGTGCCTCAATATCCTCTGCCATTGTCCCCAGTTCCCAGCCTGCCTCCTGCAATGTGTCCTCATACCCACTGACCCCGGGGCCAGCCCCTGGTCCCCCAGATGTAAGATCAGCAATTATTTTGTGATCTGGCTCGCTGAGAGGCTATCGCTAAGGCATGGGCTTACGCTCACGCGTCCGACCCTACTCTCCTCAGAGCCCTTGCCCTGGGAGGCCGTTGGAGGAGAGAATCCCAGGGCAGGAACAAGGAAAAGTGACATCTCTGAGCAAGACCACAGAGGTGACCAACCCCTCAGCTCCTCCTTTACCTGGCAGTGCTGGGGAGGGCCCCACATGCTCCCAGCACCGCACCCTACAAACCCCTCCTGCCTTAAAGGTGGCATTTTCAGCAGCTCATGGTCCCCGTGGCTACTTGGCATCCAGTCCCCAGCTTACCCCATGGGTGCAGGGCTGTGGGGTACCTGCGGCAGGGCTCCCCTTGCCATGCTGTGTCTGCACAGGGGGATGGAGTCACGGCTGAGCAGGAGGGAGTTTCTCCCCTGGGGGCTTCCTTGTATTGTGCCTGCAGCAAACCCTTCCTGTGCACTCAATGCAGCCATGGAGCAGGGACCGAGGGGGACTCAGGCTGGGCCACCCCAGCCCCTCCAGTGCAGTCTTTGCAGCCCCTTTGGGCCCAGCTCCCTGGGGAGGATGGAGCGTGCCAAGAATTGTGCCTTTTCCTCTCATCTGCAGACAGTCATGATGGTTAAGTGGCTTGTTTTTCATTAGGGAAAGGCTGTTGCTAGGCCACCCTGGTCCCTAGCATTGGTCGGGAAGGGGTTTTACAGCCAATCCGGGAGGCTGTGCTGGCGGGTCGGACATGCACATGCACACATGCACACGCACACCCCTCCTGCAGCCCAAGTGCTGAGCAGCTGCCAGATGTGCCTATTCATTTCCACATCACACCTATTCACTTCTTCCAGCCAAGCAGGTTATTAAGGCTCCTGAGATTTTAATTTATAGCTGGCTGTGAGTTTTCTGCCTTCTAATTTACGCTCAGGGAGTAGAGAAGAGGGGTGATGGTGGGTGGGGTACTGATGGGGTGGGGGCGCAGGGAGACCCGTTCCTCCCTCCATTGCGACTGGTTTGGTCTCTGGTGAGTCACCCAAGCGGAGCCTCTGCTCTCTGCCTGCAAACAGGGCAAGTCGTCCCTCTGTGGCCCCACAGTGAGAGGGGACAGACTGCCCCAGGTTAGGGCCTTGCTCCAGGCTGTTATTAGGTACTGGCATTGCTCCACCCCAAGACATTTGGGGCTTACGTGGCACTGCAACCACATGTACCGTAATAACAAGAGCCAGCATCAAATCAAACCAGGTGTTTGATCAGGGGATGCTGCTCCCAGCCATGGTCCCCACGCAAACAGTCCCTGGCAGCTGGGAGAGGTGCTGGACCACAGCCAGGTGCTGGTGATGCAGGGCGGAAGGGTCAGACACATCCCTGGCACAGGGTCTCCTGGTACAGCTGATGTTCTGCTATGGTGCTATTTCAAGCATCCTATGGGTGTCTGACACCCACGCAGCACAAGCAGACTCCTGGGTGCATGGGCAAGGCAGGGTACAAGCAGAGCCTGGGGTGAGAGCAGGATGGGTGCATGCATCCACTTCTACAGCTGCAAAGCTTTCACCATGTGAGATAGGAATAGACATCAAAACACACAGAAAACCGTGGACATCTACGCAAAACTTGGCTTCTTAGTGTCCCCCATGAAAACCTCCATGTGGCAGGGGGTAGTGGGGGGGCTCAATAAAACCAAGGGAAAGCGTTGAATTGCTGTCTGCTGCTCAAGGAGAAGCTGTTGCTAGACAGAAGTAAAAGCCGTCGCCATCGGCTCCCATTGGCTCAGCCCCACTCCAATGACTGGCTTATCAGTTACCTGCTCTCGCAGCTGGCTGGAAAAACCTCATTTGACAATGTTTTCCCTCTGATAAAAAAGCCCATTGCTGGATTCATGGGTTTGGGTTAATCATTATTCCAGGTCGTTGAGATAAGGGCCGAGTTTTCTGCAGATTCTTCAATTATCATGAAATTTAGCGTAAATGGTGAGCCAGCCCAGCTCTTCTTCACCCACCTAAAGATGCTCAGCCTGCCTAAAGATGCTTAGCATCCCAGCATAAGCACCAGCAGGCTGCTCGAGTGATGAACCAGAGCAAAAGTTGGCTGCTTTCAGCCATAGCGACTCCCTGGCATGTAGGTGAATATTCACAAACACCTGTGAAAAGCCTGATTAGCTCTTGAAGGGTTCACTGGGTGCAAACAGGACGAATGCTGCCATTCAGATTATTCAGAGCAAACATTGCTTCAGCTGCAGGGAGCGGATTGCCACCACTCCTCATCACCCATGGTGGGGTTTGCTCATAAGCAACCCTGCCTCGGGGGGGCTGAGGGGCTGCAGTGCACAATGTTAGGGTTTTCTTTCCAGCCCTTCAAATCTGACATAAATGGGGATTGACCCCCTCCCCCCAATTTGTTTCTCAGCTTCCTCAAGAGCTGGAGATCATGGCATAGAAGCAAAGTTTGCGGGGCATGTGCGTACCAAAGAGCAGCCAGCCTTTGGCTGCCTTCAAATTTGCCCCCAAAGCAGGGGGGTATTTCAGCAGGAGGGTTAAATCAGTGTGGTGGCAATGGGGACAAGATCTCAGAAGCAGCCTAGGACTTTCCCAGCACCTCATGCCACTGTGCAAGCCTGGGGCTGTGCTGCCAGGAGGGCAGGCAGGCAGCTGTGTGAGTGGGCAGGCAGGGAAAAAGCTGCCCTGGATAACAGGGAGGAGTGCTTAGAGAAATCTGTCCCTTGCCTGGAGCCCAGCCCAGGCTTACTTTTGGAAGTGGGTCTCACTAAAGTGTTTGGATGGTCAAGACTTCAGAAATGTGGGGTTTTAGGGTTTTTTTTCCTTAATTATGCCTTCCCCTCGCCACTGGCTGACGGCAAGGCAGCCTGAGTCACAGGCTGATAAAGCCTCGTGGCCTTTCACCTCCTTTTGGAGCTGTCTCCAGCCTCACCCCAACACACCCGTGTCTCACATCGAGCCATCACATGGCTTAGGGAAGTCAATGCTGTGGGGTGGCGAGGCGGTGGGCCAGGGGGACAACAAGGTGGGGGGCTCAGGTGGACAAACAAGCCGGGAGCCGTTGGGTGCCCCACGCAAGCTCCCCACGAACCCACGTACCCCCTGAGGGGATGCAGTTATACGGCCCAGGTTTTATGGCCACGAGCAAAGCATCCCTCCGCTGCGCCCTTCCTCCGGGTCTGCTTTCCCGGGAGCCGCAGACAGCTCCGCTGTGTCGGCTTTGGGATGCCACCACCTTCCGACGGCGGGTCTGCCGACCCGCGGAGCTTTCACCTTTCCTACAGCTTTGCCTCCCTCCTACCACCCCGGGGGAGGTGGAAATGGCAGAGGGGAGGGAACAAGAGCAAAACCTGTGCCGGCCGTGCTCCTCCTGCACCCCGCCGGGTGTCCCCGCGGGGTTCAGGTCCCTCCCGCCAGGTCCTGCTGGCATCGCACGGCATCGCGCCGGGGCTCCGCTGAGCTGCACCCGGGGCTCGCACGGAGGGTGGCGCCGGCCGTGGCTTCCAGCTTGCCGCATCAGGAGCGCGCCTGGGACAAACTGGCACGGGCAGAATTTAAAGACCTACCGCGGGGCCACGTTTCCTACCGGGACGGTGGAAGGCGCCTAGACCACGAGCTCACGGAGCGGCCCAGGTTATTACGATTTCTGTTGAAGGACGGTTGTGCTTGGGCCACCGGGAAGGCAGAGCTTTTTAGACACGTCCGGCGTGTTTCGAAGCGTTTCTGAGCTGTCCCCGGCTTCCTCCGCCGGGCAGGGAGGAGTTAAGATGGGAAGAGCGAGATGCGTCTCGTAATGGCACCGGTGCGTGCGTCAGGTGTGCCTGCGTCACCCGGCTCCCCGGGCCGCTTCCCAAGGCCGGGGCTGAGCTCTCCTGCCCTCCCCCTGGCCGCCGGGAAACGCCTGGGGCCGGTCTAGCCCGGCGGCGGGCGACGCGGACTCCGCTTCAGAGCTGGCTGCCGTACCCGCGCGGTGCTGCGGCTGGGCTCCCGAAAGCCCTCCGGCCCCCTCCTGCCGCCCCCCCTCTCCCAGGCCGGGCAGCAGGACTGGGGGACCCCTGGCCTAAAGGGGCGGTCTCAGCCTCGAGGCAAAAAAATATCCATTTTCTATAACCATGGCTGTTCAGTTCCCGGGGGAAGCGCGCAACCCCGCGTGTCCAGCCCCAAGCCCCCCTCCAGTGCTCCCACACCCAGCTGGGGTCCATCTGCGCAGCCACAGGTACCTACGTGCGTCACCCACGGAGCAGCAGCCTGCGGGCAGAGCCACGGCAGGTGAGCATCACCCCGTCCCCACACCATCACGGCAGCTCAGCGTCATCCCCACCCTGCAGAGCAGGGGCAGCTCTCACCCCCAGACCCCGTGCGCGGGGACGCTGACGTGGGGTGGGCAAATCCCAGCAGTGCCTCTCCTTAACACAGGGAGCTCCCCGAGCTGGGACAGCCCAGCTGCTGGAAGGTGACACGCTGGGATGCTTTCTCTCGTGCACTGGGATTTCTCCAAGCAGCCGGCAGCGCTGGACCACAGAGCTCTGGCTGAGCCCATCCCCTGCTCCTCCTGCCTTCACTGGGATGTCCCCATAGCAGAGGGGACCAGCTCGTACCCCAAGGAACAGCTTACTCCAGCAACTATCAGGCCACTCAAAGCACCTTTCCTGGTTGCAGGTGGGTTTTAAGCCTTGGGGCATGGCATGGTACATGCGCAGCCATTTGCCAACCTCATCGCTGCCCTCTCCCTCCTGGAAAGCTGCCAGATCAGATCATGCAGCAAATACACAAGGGTTTAGCAAGAACAATTTTTAATTCGGGATTGGACAATTATGTGAATAGTCTGTTTAAAATTAAGTGTATGCTATGCTCTTGTCCAGGCTGGACACTGATTAGACCCAGACTTTCTTTTCAGGCTTCACTGTGCAAAGAAAGTAAGGAGGAAACTGGTTGTTTAACTGGCCCCCAGATGGTTTGCAGCCTTTGGGCATCAGCAAGACACCTCAGTCCTTCCACAGGAGGACTTGCCACTTGCCCACCATGGGGATATCCCCTTCCCAGAGGGCATAGGAGGTGCGCTGGCAGCCCCAGCCCACCGCTGCAGCCGTCGCATGCTCGGGGGGCTCCACCAGGCTGACACCAGGACCCTGCTCATCCCCGAGCACCAAGTGACAGATGAACACGGTGCAGCCACAGTGCTTACTTCTGTGCGACAGCAAGAGGCTGCAAACAGAGTTTTCAGGAGACTGCTGGTGTCCAAGTGTCACCATTTCTCCATCCCCCAGGGGGGCTGGGGGTGTCCGACTCCCCTGCACTTCTCCTGCAGTGGCACTGGGTGCTGGGCAGAGCCCACGGGGCACAAGTCCGGGGAAGGAGGTCAGCAGCCGCCTCCACCTTTAATAGCTGAAGGCACCAGGATGGCCTGGAACACGGGGCGGAGATGCCGTCCCTCATCACAGGCCGCTTGCCATCAGGTCTGTGGGCCAGTACTGGTCATCCATGTACTGGTTGCTGTCTGCGGTGGGGTCTGTGATGGGGCTGGGGGGCCGGGGGGGCAGGCTGCGGGCCAGCTCCGTCTCCCACTGCACCTCCACCAGTCTATACAGCTCCATGGCCGTCTGAGCATCCTCCACCGATGAGTGTCCTTTGCAGCCGACCTGAGCAAAGGGGGAAAAGACTTGTTAGATAAAGGGGGCAGCAAAAATCCCACAGATCATGTTGTCTGCTTGCTTGGATGGACACAAGTGCTGGGGGTTTTGGAGATGGCAAACGTTTGATGCAGCCAAGGAGATGCAGGAATCTCTTGAGCACTCTCTGGAGGGCAGAGGTCCTGTCCCTGTTTTACTGAGATGCTTAAATGTCAGCTTGATCCATCAAGGTCCCCCAGCTTGATCATAGCTGGGAGCACAGGATCAACAAGGTTTATATCCATCTCACAGAGAGCACCCATGGAGGTGGGAGGACAAGGCTGACCATACAGGCTCACAGCAAACCCAGGAACTGCTCCCCATCTCAAGGTTCCTGGTGCTTACCTGGATCTTCTTCTGGAGGAGGTGCCTGGCCAAGCTCTTGAGTGAGACGCTGGCCCTGCCCGGCAGCCCTGCCCTCTTGTTCAGCATGGGGATCCGACTGGTGTCTCGAGTCCTGTCTTTCGGGTGGAAGTACTTCAGGGCTTGGAAGTCATTGTGGACGGCGTGTCCTACCACAATCTTGTCTTTCAAGATCTTCAGGATCTGGAAGCGTCAGAAAAGGTTAGACAGGCAGTGCATCAAAAGAAACACCAATTAAGCATAAAATAAACCATTTTGTGTTAAATTCGGTTCCTTCAGTTGTAGTTTTTAGGTTCCCAGAAGGGAGCAGTAACAAGAAAACTAACCCACTGCACAGCTTCAGAGGCTCCCCATGCTGTGCTTGTCTCTGCTTCAGCTCAGCTCAGCACCAGCCACCAAATCTCCCAATCTGTGTCTGGCATATAGCACACAGCCCTTTTTTTTTTTTTTTTTTTTTATTACTCTCTTTCCTCACCTCTGCCTGGGCAGCCTTGAAGGGAATTGCACTCTTCATGTGCTGCTTGGTGATGCCACTCCAGCGCGTCCGGTAGTCCACGATGGGGAGCTCAGGCTGGACGTACTTGTCGTAGATGACATCCCCCTCGTAGTTCACCACGGAGCACCGCGCCAGCTCGCTCAGCCTGCCCTGAGGACCGGTGCCCACCATCTCGCAGTCGATGGCCACGTACTTGCCTGGGCGCAGGAGTGGGGAGGACGTCCGCACCCCTTTGGAGCTGCCATTCCCCCGTGACAGCAGCACAGAGTGGTGCCTAGCTATGCTGTCCGGAGAGGCGGATGGGGACAGGGATGGGGAGACGACCTGTTTGGGCTTGGTGACCTTCCCACAACGCGGTGCCATGGTGCCATCCGCCTTGGTGAGCGTGCTGCCTGTCTCCGGTCCCGCCACGGGGGCCTGGCTGCCCAGGCGCCTGCGGGGGCTCAGCAGCCCCTTCTGCTCCAGCAGCGCTCGGCGCTCCATGAACCGCTGGTGCTTGCGGCTCTTCTTCTTGCTGCGACCCTGCGGCAAGCCGGGACCCTCCAGGGGCTGAGCGCAGCCCCCCGCGGCGGGGCCATGGGTGCCCTGCAGGGTGGGTGCGGAGGCCTTCGGGGTGGGCAGCAGCGGGGTCATCTGCCCTTTGCCAGGGGGCATCCCTGCTGGAGTGGGCACAGGAGGGCATAAGTGCCACGTAGCCCCCATTCTCCCCTGTCAAAAAGGGCCCCCACACCCCACAACCCCCGACAATACCCCCACTCGCGCGGTGCGGGCAGGAGCTACGGGGCAGGGGAAGGGGGGACACGGACACATTGTCACACCCTGTCCCCACGCCCTTGCCCCCTCATTGCCCGGACCCCACCTGCCCCATTCCCGGTCCCAGGACCCCGCCC